AGAAATCTGTGGCCACAGTTACAAAGGTCTCTATACTTAATGGCACAACCAATGTACATCCTGGATGAATGAAAATAGAAGCAAACATGGCATATGACAGGGGAAGAACCAAAGACTACAGGTTTTTCACGAAGTTCAGTTGGTGCGGCTACAAAAATTTGTATAGCGAAAGAAGTTCCATGGGTCATGGAATCCAAAACGCATGAAATCAACAGCATACAGTAGAATCAAGTGCTGCAAACTAAGAATGACGTAATGGCAATGGGATGTACCTCCCAGTATGGCAAATCAATAGTGTCATCCTCTCCCATGTATCATGACGAGAAGGATGATGAGGAGATCAATCCATTCTCTTCTTTCATGACTGATTTGGTTGCTCCCCCCTTTGCATATTTCCATCCAAGATCCCAATTGACGGAGATGATTATACCCGAAGTTGATTCCAGCACAGGCGTGTGAGAGACTAGGCGAATCCCTTCAGAGACGGTGATCGTGAAGATCTCTCTGACCCACTGGGGGAGAGTGGTGGTGGGGGGGAGGAGCATGGAAACTTAGCACTGTCGATATATGACCGATTGATGGCTCACTTGGGACAAGGACTCATGGGGGTGGACCCCCTTTCTTCCCTTTTTGCTGCTCCAACAGTTTCTCCAATGGAGTCAAGCCTGGTGTATTCCATATGGACTGCATAGAAATAGAGAATGATTGTGTTTCAACTTTAAGGTGAGATTCTAATTAGATTTTCACATGTAGTATTAAAAAAAGGCTTGCTCGTTCAAATTGTTATTCTGGTTTGTCTAATCAAAATGATTAGACAAGGTCTTTTCAAGTCAAACATAAGCTTTAATGTTTTATTTTAAAGTCTTGATTGAAAACTCTGCTCTATTTTATACAGTTTAATTCAAAGTACAAATCTCTCAAGGCAGAGGTTACATATAATTCACACCTTGACTGCAAAGCCTAGCGATTGCAAGTTAACACATGCATCTTACATGAAGGCTGACGTTGTGCATTGGTGGGTTGAGTGAAGTATCTGTCAATCCAAAGTTAAGGAGGTTGGAGTTTCCCCAAGGAGAGCTGAAAAGTGAATAGGATGGAGGAGCAGATGGCCCATTGCGTGAATCCCCAATTGTCAGTCCAAGACCGTTTCCTGGCCGTCCCATGAGACTCTGAAATGTACACATATTCAACAAAATAAAGAGTTTCTGTTATGATATTTCTCACTGGAGAATGCATAGCAAGATGCAGAATGCAGCTTTAGTAACAGTGCACAATATTGTAACCACAACAGCACTTTGACCTGGAGTGTGGACTGACTCTAGTCTAAAAGGGAATGCAGATCTCAATCAATAAAAAGCTGTCATAAATGCTTGGCATCTAATTATAATCTATGAATTTTAGCACGAAAGAGGTATAGCCCAAGTTTGCTTCTATTTTCATTCATCCAGGATGTACATTGGTTGTGCCATTAAGTATAGAGACCTTTGTAACTGTGGCCACAGATTTCTCAGGGTTCCCAATAGAGACTATACAATTAAAAGTTATACAGGGTGGGCCACAGAAAAGTAGCCCAGTTGATGTGAGTGTTGTTACAATGGCAAAGAAGGTTTCTGACATGAGTTTACAAATTACTATTACAACAAGTCCTGGAAATGTTCTCCTGTTTGTCAGCTCATTCCAGGAAGTTAATGACAGTGGTTTGCAACATGTCTTTGGGAATCCTACATCGCAGAATATGGTATTTTGCTGTTTATTTCCAACAGACTACTGGGAGTTGAGATTGAAGTTACATTGTGTAGGCAGGGCCCTCCCCCCTCTTACAGAAACCAGCCAAACCAGTTTTCAAGGTTGTAGGGAAAGGCAATGGGCAGGAAAGGAAAGAACCTATGTTTGTTCCCATACAGAATTTAAACCAATGGCTGGGCTACGTTTTTGTGGCCCACCCTGCATAAAGGCAGGTGGTCATCCTGCCACATAAGAATCTGGATGAAAAATTGTGTAACTGAGCCCACCTGATATTCATTTATTGAGTGCTTTGAAGATATATAAAAAAGTATTAATCCTCACCTCTTTCAAAATGGATTTGCCAGGAGCAAGATTCAGGTTTCCATAAGATGTGGGTAGGAGGGGCTGCTGTTGATTCTGTGGGTGCTTAGAACTGACTTGGGTCCTGAGAAGGTTGGAGACAACAGGTGACCCATAGCCTTGCATCCAGGAATTGTTGCTTATGTCTGGATAGAAGACTGGGGGTCCACTGTTCAAACCCATGGTGCCAAGACCCTGATTTTCAACCTTTGTTTTGTCAGTGTCACCTGAGAACTGGGAACTGTTGGTGTCATTCATATGAAAGACTTGGGGACCACCACGAAACCAGAGAGGTGGAGGTGGGATATGGATTGGAAACGCAGCTCCTCTGTTACTACTGTTGCCATGTTCGTTTCTTTCTTTACGATTATAGTCTAAGTCATCACTGGGACTGGTGGGGAATGATGGGTGGTCCCCATTGGGTAGTGGAGGGAAGCCCTGTCTTCCCTCATGGATGAACTGGTTCTTGTTGGGTGGGGGATAAGAGAAGGTTGAGCTGGGTTCTCCATTAAAGTGTGGAGCAAGAAGTGGTGGCAGGTTCTTGGATCTCAATGATGCAGCAGTACTGGTGGCTAAGCCAATTGTGTTGGTAGTCATAATTGATGGAGGTTGAGGAGATGCAAGGGACTCATCGACCAAGCTGACTTCTGATGAACTTGGCGATGGTGTCTTGAATGTCACCTGTTAACATCAAGGAAATATCACCACCCACATTATTGAATATGCATACAAGATTGAAAATGCATTTTTCTTAAGGCTTCTAATCAATAAAATTTAAATATCAAATTACTCATGGTTTCCTTGACTGAATTATAACATTTGAAGAAGCTCATAATTCCAGCTAGGAAGCCAATTTAATCAAGAAAAAGAGGGGGGGGGGGAGGGGAGAGCAGGTGAGCAATGATTTTTTTTTGTCATAATAAACACTATACTAAACCAAATCACTAGAACATCGAGTCACAACACCCATCAACTTGTACATTGTACTGACACTGAAAATTTGATCACCTGAAAAATGCTGAATTTATTTTAAATGTTGGTAAGAGATAGGAATTTGGATATCTAACCTGCTTGTTTGATACATTTTCTGCCATGGCTGATTTCTTGAGAATGGTTTGCAGGGCTACATTATTCATACCCTTCCTTCCTAACTTGGATCCAGTATCTTCAGTGCCTGCCTTGGCATGGTTTCGGAGGATTCCCATTCGAGGCATGGGTCTGCAAGAAACCACAATGATGATAAGCAATGATATTCCAAATTATAACAGAAAGTTCTGCTTAAAGTACAGAGCATGCATGAAGAAAAATTATGCTTGCCTAGATGACGGAGTCTGGTTTCCTCCTTCCAGAATTGAATTCAAATCCTTTCCAGGAGGGGGGTTGAAATGTAAAAGACCACCAGAATTATCACCATGATTCAGATGGCCTTGCTTGCTTGATAGGGAGGGCTTGGGGTCAGCACTAAGCTGTTGCAGCTGTTGAAGCATTTCAGTTGAGGATACTTGCTTGGCCACAGGCTTGAAGCAGAGACCACGTGGTTTGTGAGAAGTATCTGAATAAAAAAACAATGAGAAGTAAAAAATCTCTGTATGTATGTGACAGGAAAACATACAAACTGTAATCTAACCTATTGCCTCCCTTCCATGTTTTCTCAAAAGTTTTTAAAGATAATTGTTGGCAATGACTCTTTAGTTCTTATAAATAATAAAATTCTGTATGACAGTCCTTCCTTCTAGTATTAAATGAAGTAAATTTTTTCACAGTAATTCACCCTTGATTTACCATAAATTTTCCTTCTCTTCACCTACAAAGATTGTGGCAGGAGGCTAGGGTTGCAGAGCAAGTTAGAAGACATCTGTTATTGCATATGCAAGAGTGACAGTCCCCCACTCTGGGCGACTGATAACAGGATTTAGACCCAAATAAAAGAAACCTCATTTAAGGGAAATAAATGGGCCTTTAAGCTAAAGAGCTCTTTTCCCTCCATAGGAGTCCATGGATTTTTAAAGGGCTATTAACTGAAGGAGGTTTCAGCATTCAGCCCTTAATTTCTAGGTCAAGGGCTACAGAGGCTGCACTTGGAGCTCACATGTTGCCTTTTATCCTTCAACTCAGATCTGGCATCCCTCATGCTATGGTTTAATACTCAGTATCTTATTTTCTGTATGATCCAACAGATGCTTCTCATGCCTTTAGGAATTTGCCACTCAAATGCCAAACACAAAACAGCAGACTGGATTTTGATGGGATAGGGATCTCATTCTATGGGCATGCCAACTTCACCTCTTTCTTGTCAGTGGATCTTGACACTCTGTCCACATTTCTTCACTCCCCACCTCTGACTTCTTACCATGTAAGAGGAAGTTCAATTGTACACTAACATTCAAGCCCTTGAGGACCTTCCATCTCAGAGGTTTCTCATTCAATTTCAAGGTGACATACTTATTGTATCATACACATTATTTTAAAAATTGTAGCACCCAGTGCTGGGCATCCAGCTTCACCCCAAAATCACTGGAGAAATATATAATCTCCTAGGAATGTAAGATAAAACAAGTGCTGCAAACCTGAGAGCTCAGGATTTTCCTGGTTGATTGATGAACCTTCTTCAGCTTGTGATTCATTGAGCTCTTGAACTTCAATAATCTTCACATTGCTTACAGTTTGCTGACTCAGCCATCTACCCAAACTTGTCAATCTGGCACCACGAAGCAAGTCTGCAGTCTTTTTTACTAGTTTTTGTTTTGTGGAATATCTGCAAGAATGTGACCAAGTCTTTTTTTTATGAAATACCTTAAAAAACACCTACTTGGGTATTACATTTATAAGGAAGAACATTCATCAAACTTACGTGTAGCATCTCAAAACCTTATTTAGAGGAAGGAATCCAACCATCATATGGTCCTCAGGCAATGGAACAGAGGCATCTGAAAAACATTAATATCACTTAACTACAAGCATTGGTGTCACATTGTGTTGGATAGAATTTCTCAAAAATGAAATGACATCAGTAGTAATTTAATGATGCATGCTTAGTTCATGCGTTAGGTTGATCCATGCAAGGCACCTCAACCAGTCTATATCAATCAAATATCAGGGTGTTTCAATAAATAACTCAACAAGAGCACAAACATACATGAAGGAGTAGGTGCAGTAAGTTTGAAAATACTGAACATGAGGGGAGCATTATCTGGTTCATTCAGTTACCATCAGAGACTGCCACTTGCCGGTAATGACATCATAGAACTGTGTAAAGATGGTCGGCATACTACACATGTGGACATACATTGAGTTGTGTAGTGTCATTAGATTTCTCCATGCAAAAGGCACAAAACCAGCCAAAATCCATCAACAGCTCATGAAAGAGTATGGCTCTGATGTCATGTCATGGCAACAAGTGTATGTGTGGTGCAATGTGTTCAAAAACGGCCAGACTAATGTTGGGAGATGAGCAGCGACCTGGGCGACCACACACCTTGTGCAAGGGTGACAATCTTTTTTGCGTTGAAGGCATCATCAGAGAAGGCCAACGAGTGAAACTTAGTGCTGCTGCTGAGGAACTTGGCATCTCGATAGGTACTGTGCATTTACATTGTTCATAACCAGTTGGAGTACTGAAAATTTTGTGCCTGCTGGGTCCCCAAACAGCTCACAGTCCCAAATCCACCCAAATGGGACTCTCATTGTGCCATTTGACTCATTACCAGACAGAAGATGTGTGACTTCTCCAGTGCATTGTGACAGGAGAGGAGACATGGGCGCACCACAGCACCACAGAAACCAAAGCTACATCAAAGATGTGGAAACACCAGTCATCTCCGACTGCTAAGACGTTCATAATGATGCAGTCAGCGAGGAAGGTGTTGGCAACTGTCTTTTGGGACCATCAGGATATTCTGGTGGAATTCCTGTGCCATGGTCAAAATGTGAATGCAGAATGCTACTGCCAGACGCTGGCAAACTGCAGGATGCTATTTGCTGTTAACGACCTGGTTTACTGCATGAGGAAGTCATTTTGCTTCATAACGCCAGGCCACCATACCTGTGAGTGGTTACAACATTACACATGGGAGATGCTGGATCACCCACCCCATAGCCTTAGACTGAGCACCTAGCAACTACCACCTGTTTGGGCTGCTAAAGAAGAGTCTCTCTGGCAGCCATTTTGCAACAGATGCTGAGGTGCAGCAGGCAGTGACAACACGGCTCTGGACACTTGATGCGGATTCTGGTGGGCAGGGATCGAGTCCTTGGTGTTATGTTGGAATAAATGTCTCAACAGATATGGTGATTATGTTGCAAAATAAGGTACCCCTTGCCTATATCCTGGATACAAATAAAGGTCTAAAAAAAAATATCTAAGCTTAGCAGCTCTTGTCAAGTTATTTATTGAAACACCCTTGTACTATGACAACTTGAGGAAATTGCCTTCAGAGATTTCATCTAGGCACTGCCTAGAATTTAGACTCTTAAGAACAGCTCTATAGTGATGTGGCTTGCAGGAAAGAGCATTGGGCAAGTTTTCTCAGTACAAGCTTGTGTACCAATAGTGTCAAGCCTATTAAATTGGCATTCTCAACATGTGTTACCCCACATTTTGCATAGGGCAGACATGAACAAGCCTTCTGACTTGATATTGCTCAACATGACAAAAAGCAAAATGCCAGTTCAAATCATGATGAAATGGAATGTCTGTTCAAACTGAAGGGAAAAAATTCCCGTGAATAAGCTCTTGTCATACAATTGGCTGAATCATTTGAGAATACCTCATCACTTGTCAGACCAGCAGCTTGTCTGCCACATCAAGTGTTCTTTCCTAAAAGAAAACTTAACTTTTTCCAGCTTACAGGCTCAATGAGGTTAAACAGGCAGTTTGGTAAGCCTCTCATCAAACCCATATGCAAGTATAAAAAAATACACATAACTCACAGTCCTTAGCTGGGAAATCATATACAGTGGATTGCAGCTCATTCAAGAGGTGACAAAGACTTGGCCACACATGAGGGCGGGTTGAGAAGGCAGGGGTTTCCAAGACATCTGGATTACAGCGCACCCAGTCCAACAACAGTTTCACTACATACCAAGATAGAGTGTACTCAGACAGAATGCTAACAAATAATTCACTTTTTAATGACAGTAAGAAGATTTCTTCAAGATACACTTCTGGTAGATGCATGGCAATAAAACTTTTGCAAACTATGTCGGAATGAGAGAAATGTCTCTTCCATGATAATAATCACCAAAACAGCATACCTGCTGGCAATGCATAGTAGTCATGCATGCTATCCCCTGCTTTGATAGTGTATGTGGGGAGGAGCATGCTACTCAGCATAGCTGCTAGCAGATCCATGATCAATGTTGCACTCTTCTCTGATGTGATCTTGGGATTTTGAGTTGTAGAATGCCCATTAGGTGCAAGAGACCATTCCTCTGCATGACCATTGGGAATGCTCATATGGAAACTTCCTTGCTTTGAAAGTTGATCAACAGCATGCAGGTTGATCCCCACCATCTGCAAACCAACAATGCTCCACATTATGCAAAAATTTAGTAAATTTCCTCAATCACTCTGCATAATTACATTCCAAAATCAGTGGATCCCACATTCCTGACTTGGAATTACAAGATACTCCTTCCATACCTGAATGAGTCTTGGAAGTGGGAGGGCAGCTGTTGCAATTAAGGAGGGAAGTCGGGATGCCAAGGCCTTCTGAAGATCTTCCATTTCAGAGAAATTTGGTGGAGGATGCTGGATCAATGCATGAAGTTTCAAGAAGCAAGACATGTACTCCTCACCAGACATGCTCACTTTGTTTCCCAACCTAATGCTGCTGGATTTAAAAAGTTCACTTGTGAAAATGGGCACTAGACAATTGCAAGGGTTACCCAGACAATGAAATAAGAGAGGAATATTTCATTTGAACTCTTTAAAGGTTCTTTTTATATTATATTTATTTATTTTCACAATACTTTTTTCACTAAATGAATTATTAATCTATTTATTAATGAACAGTGCCTGCTAGTTTGCAGGAATATGAGTCCTAGATGGTTGGTAGGCCAGTGACCAGGACTGCAGACAAGGTTAGGCCAACATGTGCATTACTTCAGTGCAGGTTCAACTGGGTTGGGGAAGCTGCTGATTTATTTCCCATGGGGAATTTTTTTTTAGACAGCTACTTGAATGACATTCACATAAACCATCAACCTAGAATTGCATTTATGCTTTCCACTTTTTTTTTAACTTTATTTTTCCCTGCTTAGGTAGGCTTGGCAAACATTTCCTCCTCACACTCTTAGCCTACTAAGGGTTGACAATTTTCATTTTCAACAGGTTGGTCCATGAAAATCCAACCACGCAGGACTCAAGTAAGCTTACTTCACATATAATACTTATGAGCAGTAAAACATTTTGCTCACCTGTCGCTGACAAACTGTGAGAGCATTTTCTCCAAATTGCTTTTAGCAGCAATGAATGGATAGGCCACAGACATACTCCGGACATAGTAGAAGACTGCAGCAAGGGAATCACCTCTTGTTGCATTGAGAAGTGCAATCTGATTGTATGGCTGACCACCAGATGGTACCATAGATATGGCATGCCTACAAGAATGGCATTTTCAGGAATGATTTGAAGTATCAAGGATTTCCATACATCTTTTGATAGACTTTAATGTTGAAAACCATCATTAATATTTTATAAGTAGGTCTAAAAAAATTCCAATGCAAAGATTTATAAATCCTCTGCAGAGGTAAGACAAATGCCCTGGGTGGATCTGAACTTCCTAAGAAAAGTTCTTGAACAAGGTTTCCTTTGAATGGAACTTATTAGTGAAAGTGGACAGTAGTTCTAGCAGCAACCCAGATATGTCTGAAATAACTGATTCCATCTGCAGAGATTCATCAACATCAAGTCAACTTCTCAAAAAAATACAATAGCAACCAATCCATTTTCTGAGCAATATATTCATTTCATGTAAATTTCCTGATTGGTCTAGGGCATTCTAGCTTAGAAAACAGGTCAACATTGGACCTCCAGAGCCAAAAAAAATGGGTTATACCTAATTTAAGACCAAGCATTATTGGAAAGGCAACTCCAAGCTGGATCATATCTATATCTCCATCAAAATACATTTTGCTCAACATTTGGTTTAAAGCATATATATACTCTTGAAAATAGCTGATTTTCCTCTGAATGTTGATTGAACCTTACCTGTAGTAGCTCTCAGCAAGAGCCAGATTTCCCTTGTAACGAGCCAAGTCACCAAGGTGGGTCAAGCAGTACTGGCATAAGTAACAGACAGATTTCTGAAGAGATGTTCCACCCTTCCCATCGCTGAGAGGTTGCCCAACTCCTTGACTAAAAAAGACGCAAACACACACAAATATTTCTCTCCAATGAATCAAGGGTGAAGACATACTGGAAGTAAAGAGAAAACTCTCTCTACCTATGGAATGGAAGGCCAATGTTGAAGATATCGCATAGGTCTCCTATCAGAAGAGTGTAGAAGCCTGATGCAGAGTCTATGAACCAGCGAAGTAGAGCACTACTATCCCCTCGTCTTGGGTTCTTCAAAATAGAAAAAGGAAATATATTTACATGAATGAGAAAAACAAGATCAGTATCCATCTTGAGGCCAGACAGCTGCATGTCCACTGCAGTTAAAGGATGTCTGCAACATGTGGTAGTCAATAGGCAATAGTGGTCAAGGGCTAGGGACATGAAAAGATTACATCATCAAAGACATGCAGATCAGCCACACTTCTGAACATTTTTCTGAATGCAGTTAAGAAGACACTTTTTCCTTTGTGAATTAAAATTCACCTTCTAAGGGTTTAACAGGCACTAGAGCTAGGTTGGCACCTGCTGACATCAGCTACAGCCCTCTGGTCAATGTTCATAGCCAACACACTTCCACTTCACTGCATTTCAGAGAACTCAAATTCTCACCCCTTCCCAAGCCCTATAATGGATGGCTTTTGCAGATGGAGAATCTTATAAATTTTCCATTTCACAGCTTTCAAGGGATCCATAAATCACAATAAGTATTAGATATCTTTTTTTTTAATATAAAAAAAATTAAGCACTTTTCAGCTCCAAAATTCAGAAGAAAGTTTTAAAAAATGAGCAAAGAATCAAGAAAATGACAGTAGTTCTGTTATGTTTTCCTCTTTGTTCCTTTCTAAATCTGCATTGTATTCTTGTATGGATCATCAAGGGTAATCTCAGCCATAAAAGGGATTTCAGTCCCTCTTAAAAAAAACAAAACAAAAAAATATCCAAAAAATGCAAATGTTATACAATTCAAACAGTGTCCTCATCCTGAGCTATAGTAGATAAAAACTTCAGACAAGTTATTGGGAAGGGCTCTTCTCTTTTGTGCATTTTTTATCGATACACCCAAGCAGGACTTAGTGACCTAGGTAGAAACATGGGCTTCAGACGTAAAGGACTTACACAACCAGGAGTTTAAGTCTTACTGTGGCTGAAAATTATGAAGCATTTCTTGAAACATCCATACATATTTTATGCATTTTCCTGCATTTCAGCCAGTACACTTTGGGTTGTTATTTTGATTGGTAAGTAGGACTTCCTACATTGCAGTCTTGTTGAACCTTTCACTCCACATTCAGATGTAGGGTAATTCATTGCACATCTTAAGAACATGTGTTTATGGAGCAAGCATTCAACTCAGAGCCTACAAAACCAATAGGAAACTAGGGATCAAAATTACAAAAGTTACTAGGAGCTTAATTAGGGGGTGAAAACAGACCTTACATCCTCCCCAGTCCTTTCTACAGGAACAATCCACATTTTCATTAATAAATAAAAAAATTAAAAAATACCTTAGATCAAACTTTATATGCATAAAAGAGTACCAGGAGCAGAGAACAAGGGAACACAAACCTTTTTGTCACGGGCTTCTTTCTGCAAAAATGTGATTTGACTTCGGAAAACTTGATTCCATAAGTCTTGCTCCACTCTCCTATCCAAGGCAAGCTCCACATCTTTGATCAGCAGGTCACGATATAAACTCTAAGGCAAGGAGAAAGCATATCAGAAAGGTAAAAAGGGAGAACTTTCACTTGTGGCATCAGAAAGCCTGTCCATAAGTCATCCCAGCTCTGAATGGTGGGAAAGTCATCTATCCTGGTATGACAGAGGGAAACCACCCAGGAACTTAACTGGCAAACAACTAAACAAAATTCAATACTCAGCAAAATCAGACTTATTTTGAATGCTGAACTATGCAATAAAAATTATTTTAAGATATGAATGAAAGTCACAAACTGCAAGAAATATTGAGCATTCACGAAAAATCTATGATGGGGGGGTCATATCTTGCAAATTATCAGTGGCATTTGGTACTTGCCCTTCAAGTACACCTTAAACCAAAAGTTCCAAACCATTTTTTAAAGAGCAACTAGTTCAAGACTCCATGACCCACAAGCAAGATTGTTGGCCCAATAGAAAATAATACAAAGGGCAAACAAATGTATGGAAAATCTTAAGCATTTGTGTTTGGTGTGCTAGGCTCTGGGTGACTCAAATAAGAACTTCACATTTACATACATGAGATGTGAATCAAAGATTGATAGAAACTGCTGGCCAAGGTACTTTTTGGCTTGAGATACATATTTTCATTGCATATCTTTAGTCCTGAAATTTCTGACAGTGGACCTAATGACCACTTCCTGCATTAAATTATCATATCATCATTTGCCCTAAACCTTCCATGGCTCAAAAACTTTGTCAAATATCCCAGCAGAGCTACAATGTTCCATTCTGTTAATTTAGTTGGACATAACCATGCTGAGTCATGATTAAATTTCGAAATTCCAAAGTCTTCTATTTCCTCTTTCTCACCTGTAGTTGATGCAAGATTGTCCACAGCTCATCACTCTGGAAGAAACTCTTTGTCACATTGGGGGAGCCTCCATTGAAGTATGCCTCCAGCTTCAATTTCACACTTTCAGCCTCCCTATTTCAATGGGAAGATGTGCATTGACTTCAAAGAAAATATGAAAATTTCCTCTCTTCCTTTCAGGTTATACTCTAAAACAAAGCTACTGTTTCAACTAATTTTACAGCAAGCTAACATAAAAATTCTATATATGTCTATCCCTGTGTAGCTTTCCTACTCCTCTACATTTCTTCATGTTGCAGCAATGATCAAAGCTTTACCTGGAGTGAATATGACTTCACAGCATAATATTTGTGGATTTTGGTCCTCCAATGGGATATGTTGGTTTTCCTTGGCTATGCCCAACCAGTTGCTCACATATGACTCATCTGGACTAAAATGGTCAGTCATTAAAAGTCACTTGTGAGTGACTGTCAGTCAGCTAAAACTTCTGAGAGAAAACATTGAACTGAATTGATTTGCTTGGGCAAAGCAAAGGGAACTCAATTAAGGAACATACAATCATCTCAAGACAATAAAAAACGGGGTATACATATAACAGAAGATGGATAAAAGTTGTAACTCAAGCAGGAGTTTTCAGCATAACTGCATAGTTGAAGGGTCAAAATGGCAGCTGTATTCGTCTTAATTCATTCAGCTTCTATTCATCTAATCTCTGGCTGCCATTTAACCAAAGGAAATCCAAATCATGTTCACCATGTTTGCATGAAAGCAGTCAGTTTCCTCTTTGTCAATGGTACAGTGACAAGAACAAGGCATAACTACAGTAGATTTTAAGTATTATGTAGTATGACATTATGTATGACAATATGATCCCATGTTGATTCTGACACTGCATGATTTGATAATGCAAATTTTGAATGCATGAGTTAACATTAGGACATGATAGGCTGTTATGCATTCTTTATGGTAGGCCAATAAAAGGGGGAGGGAGCATATGTATTTTTTTTTAATACAACAAATATACTAGACTGATCAAAAAGGAACGGAACTTTGGTTGTAGCTCATATATTACTTGTCGAAATCATTGGCCACTAGGCAGACATCAACTATGTTCACTTTGTGATTCATGGTAAAAATTTCAGTGGTCTTTCGTTTAAGCAAATGTACCTACGTACTACAGGTACTCGCTGCAAATATCTGTGCGTACATCTTTTGCAAAAAGCTTGAGAGTCTTAGTGAATGATTTTCAGAGCTTCATCTTTGCCCTTTGCTCCAGCACTGGCATTCCAGTAAAATCCGCTGAAAGTTACTAACCATGGCAATTTCTTTTTATCACCAACAGAGTTCCTTAAACGAAAGACCACTGAAATTTGTACCATGAGTTGCAAAGTGAACATAGTTGATGCCTGTAGAGTGGCCAATGATTTTGATGAGTAATATATGAGCTACAGCCAAAGTTCCGTTCATTTTTGATCAGTCTAATAAACATGATGGGAATAGCCATGACTGTACACACCTTCATCCTCTCTTAGGGTGGGTTTACAAATGCAAGTATACTCATATGACATTGTTATAGTAGGCCATAATCCATGTGAGTACTTGTAAGGAATAGAGAAGAGTCCCATTTCATGGAAATCATTCTCAGGGACAATAATTGTCTGAGGGAACACACTCTCAAGAGAAAAGCCTCCATGCAAGTGTAAACCAACCCTTAGGTGAAGCCTGATCTTCATAGCTAAAGCAATGTGTTCTCTGTATCTTTTCAGCATATTTAACCTTTCAATAGTAAGTATATGTTCCAAGATTTAAGACCCTTACAGATGCTGATGACTTCAATAACTTCATCATAGAACTTCTAGGCTCAAACCAAACCCTTATTGTTTACCTTAAGAGACAAACCTCCTTGCCTAATAGTACTTCCTCTCAGGTATAAAACAGGCCAAACAACAAGTTGTACACTGGAGATGAATCCAACACTACAAATATGATGTGTTCAAAAAGTCAGGTAATTCCATTAAAAAGTTGTACTTCCAGACAGTAGGTACCAAGAAATAAAACAGCTCTTCCTATGGCCAGAGGAACCATGACTGCTATTTTTGATTAAGGTCAAGATCCTAGGTCATTTTAAGTGATTCAAAGGAGTGTCAAAATTTTTCTCTAAGGCCTAAAGATTTATCTTGCAAGGTTCAATGCATGTGATCCAAGTTGAGTTCTATTGAGACACTTCATGGACCTACTTCACTGATAGTTCAGCTGATGGCCACTCATATGAGGTTGGGCCAAATTCTATACCTTATTTTTGCCTAGACATGGGAACCTGGTCTTTCCCTGAAAGGTCAAGGCTACCCAATAATTAAGGCCTATATTCATGGATGCCATCATGAAAAGAACAATTTAATTAAGAGCTGCAAGGTAATTGAACTTTCAGGATGAGTTCATGCAACTAAATAAGGGCATTGCACTACTGGTACTTCAATTCTGATAAAATCCTGAATTTCCACAAGGTGTCCAGCTTTTGACCTCACATGCTTAGGCTGGACCAGCTCATCTCACCAAAACCATGAATGTGTCTGAGGGGTCACGTCCCATGTTTAAGGTACAATGGAGGATATATTACAGTGCTTTTCACTTGGATCAGATGATTTTTCACTTTACTCTGACTCATGCATGGGACATTCCTCACATGAGAGTTGAAATAAGGTGGGAAAATGTCTGACTTGAGTCTGCAGTTCCAATGGTATGTGTGGACTCTGAGGAAATAATGGTTTCCATTACAAGGGTGTAAGAATATATCCTGAGACCACTAGAAGGCCTCAGCTAGATCCTATGCACAGGGAACAACAACAACTGATGCCTCCATCCCCTATCAGTCAAAATATTGATCCAAATCTGTTAATGGTTATGCATATACCCCTAGAGAAATTGCACTCCCCCAGTCTCCATGTTACCAAATGAATTCAACTGGAAACATGCCACATCCAATGGGATTCCTTTTATTCATAATAAACACCAACACAACCTGACCTAACCTGGCCTAATTTTAGGTACAACACAACATCCCTTGGGGGTACATGCTTGACCATTACCAAGTCTCCCATCTACGCAAGTTACAGAGCTATTCTGCTTACAGTTGCCCATCGGACACAGTTAACTGTATGCAGTGTGTAGGGTTGCCCAGGTGACTGTCCCCCAAGGGATATTGTGTTTCTCTTTAAGTTAGGCTAGGTTAGGTTAGGGGGGTGGGTGTGGTGTGTATTATATATAATAGGAATCCCAATTGAGATTCCAGGTGACTCTACTCACGCTCAGTTAACCAGGTGCGTTTGGTTAACTGTAAGTGGAACAGAGCCACTTCATCTCAGCAACATCACAAGCAATTTGGTCAATCATTTGACAAGTTGAAGAGTTCCTCTCTTAAAAACATATCCAAGGTGCTCTCTCCCTTCTTCCTTTTGTCTGTAATGATCACCATGACTACCCACAGGACAAACATGGGCTATCCTTAGTGACACTCTGCACTGCAGAGAGAGCTGGTAGCAACATGTAAACTTCAAATGTACTATCATAGATTGAAGGAATGAAATGTACCTTTTTGTTTCCTGAATGAGTCTCCAAAGAAGGAATAAGCTCCAAGGCATTCAGCAGCATAACCACAGCCAATCCAGTTAAAATCAGGCCCAAGTTAGACCTGACATTCCTGTCTAACTTAGGCTTATATCAGGCCTACTGTAAGCCTATAGCAGGCATATGATAAGCTTAGGCTAAAGCAAAGACGGACCATGGAATGGTTCTGCTCGGTAGCGTTTAAAAGACTTTGATCTGCACATACTAGGGCGAGGCATAACGTTGGGCTTGGACCAATGCTAGTTACTCAACAACTCACTGATGAATCTCCTGTGGCTGCTTCATGTCCCCGTCGCTCGCATAATGAAGATAGCTTCTCAAAGTCAGCTGTAACCATCTGGAATTAACATCATCACCTCAGATCGTCATCCATGACGAATTAAGTACGCTTGCACAACGATGGCAAAATGCGTCACATGGCTCACGACAACTGACATCTCTCTTCACTTGAGAGCCGCCATGCTGATGGCTTCATCGTCTTCGACGGTCGGGAGAGCTAGCAAGTTTCGCGGGCGAGTCACCGAGGACAAGGGCGTGCCATTGGTAGTTTTGGTGATATCCTCTGCCGACCTTCGTTAATGGTCTCTTATGTTTGATATTCATGACAGTATGATATCGGATGCGACCCGAAAGGACCCTCATAGAAACACTACGACGACTCAACTACCGTCGCGCGCCGAAAGCATTTGTTCCTCTCCCTACCGTGAGGTGTCTCCACCCGACCTGGCGTGCCCGCGGCCTGACCCCCCCTCCCCTCCCCCTCCCCCCCCCGACCCAGACCCTGCCCGTCACTCCCAGGGGCGGCGGCGGGTGACGACGGTGAAGCTGTCGCTGTGACGTGCCCTCGTGAACCGGTTTCGAGACGAGATCGGGACCTGACGGTCTGCAACACCCGAACCTTGAATCCGGACGCATGCTGGGAGCAGGAAGTGGAAGAGACCGACGCAGTTCGCAGGTCACTCGGCCCCCTTATTCTATGTATATAGTCCATTGACGAAATATATCTTCGCCTGATCCTGCCCTAAGCCTACGCGCGCTAGCATTTTTCCTAATGGACTCGAATGTGAAATATTCTAAATATGCGATAACGTTCCGATCGGAAAGGATTTTGTCCCCAGTAAATGCCATTCCGCAAAGTTAACTTTCGTCTGAGTATTGGCACTAGCCGTTACTCAATTCAGACATGGAAATGAATTTTATCATTTTTTAAAAGGAACAACAGTGGGCTTCAGCTATGCTAGTTTTTTTTTTTTTAAGTCTATTTGTTTGGGACAAAAATTTTTTTTTCCTGACACTGATATAGTCGACGCTCGATATAACGAACTTTCCTTAGAAATAATTTTTTTTTAGCCTGTCCCTTCGAGTTCGTTATATCGAGCGTCGACTGTATCTTCTAACATGCATTACTAACACATTTTGTTGCTACGTCGAATTTGCCTGAATGGGATTTCTCGACGATTGTTTCATAACGTCAGTTGGGTGACCTTCGAGAGTCCCCATGGTATGCGATTCGAGAACACCCGCGGACCCACGAGTCCTTTGGCCCTTCGGGAGTCCTAGGTCGAGAAACCGGAATCGAAGCGGATCCGGAGCGTTTCGACGCGGAGTGACAGGAACGCAGGGGCTCGCCGGGCGAAGGTTCTAGAAAATGCTTCCAGGTTTCACTTTCGTTTTTCTCTCTGGAAATTTCCTCGCAGGCCACGTGGGACCACTCCGCCAGTCCACACTTTCGCTTCGCCCCCGATAAAAGTAAGGGGGGGTTCCATTGCAACCAACAGGGAAAGAAAAATATTTCCTTGCCAATTTTTTGCCCAAGGACATTACCGAAACGAGGAGAAAGTCAGATCGTCCAAGGGGAAATGCACTTCAAAAGTTAGGAGAGATGTGAAACCCCCATGGAAATCTATACGCGAATTAATAGAGCCAGAGGAGCTCCATTTATTTTCATGATCATTTTCGCGGAATTAAGTAATTGGATATCATTAATTAAATAATACTGATTCAATCAATTCAGTCAACTCACAGGAGAACTTTTCCTCGGAAAAATATTGATTGGTTATTAGGAGAAATAACCCATCTTCAACTCGTCGAGCCTTCAACAGTAAGCAGAAGAATGGCATGCGCATTTTTTTTTCCAATAGAGAAATGAACGGTTCATCCCAATAAGCCACTTTTTTTCCCACGTGTATTACGTTAGTTCGTTCGCATTGCCGTGAAGCGGATTCTGACCAGGTTGTTCCAGCTGATCGTCGCTTACGTATTTTAAGCCTACTTCCTTTCATTCGATTCGAAGGGTTGGTTCGTTCTCATCTATGTGAAAGTCTCTTCCACCTATCCCAATCTGCTTTTTCTCTGACGTTGATGCAGCACCCTCAAAGAACGAGGAGGAAAGCGCGCAACGGTCGACAGCACCAGACCTGACATTTTAAATATTATTTCCAATTCCCATGCGATTTATGGGGAAATGGCAGATAATGCTATCGGTCTGTCACTTTTTCCGTTTTTGTTTCACATTCCGTCAGTCTGCAGTTGCCATAGCGAGCAATCGTTCTCCCGATGCTCATGTGCAGCCTCTGGCCTGGGTCGGGGTGTCAGTCCCTCCCCAGCCCTTGCAGCTGATGGATCCATAGTTGAAAAACGGAGAGAGGGTTGCTGACCCAGCTCGCGAAATGCCGCATCTGGCAACCCTATACGGTGTGCTCTCCCATTTCTACCCAACGCTGACGCAAGACCATCGAGGACTCTCGAGCTTACCGGGACCATGCACGTAGGCCTGCGACGTACGAATGCTGGATGATCGGATGATCGTGACGCAGCGGAGGGAAGAAGGAAGTATGGAAGTAAGCACTCGGAAGAAGATACAGTGAACCATCGATATACCCCACTTGTTATATACCGCCACCCTTGCATATGGCAAACTCTTTCCTGCGAACAAATCATCCCCATAATAATCTAATAATAGGCTCACCCCCATTACGGCGTCACCCTCGCCAGCCGCCATCCCCCAACACTATCGTATGTACAAACATGCTTTTTTCCCACTTAAATCCCCCTCGATTTAAGCGTCTACTAGCACATGAGCCGCGACTCTTATCCAAAGCTAAGCGCAGCTAAATAATTGCTGCTACCGTTAGAGGTGTCTCAACCGTGCATAAGACAGACAAGTATCGGAGGGGACTAAGGATGGCAATATGAGGTTCACATCAGTCAAATTTTCCATCAGAGATTTCGGTATCGAAGCCACTAGCTCACTGCGGATCATTCGGTGTTATTATCACTGCGCGTTATTGCGCCAAAATCAGCGACGACTAACTGTGACGTTATATCGAGGCTTGACTACTTGCTTGGTAGGATTTCTGAACGACGAGGAAAGCTCGAATGAAACCCGGAAACTTTCTGTGGCAGGTGGATAAAAAATGAAATTTGCAGGGTGGCATGCAGTGGGTGGGCTATTGACATCTGGCGATGCGGCAGTCCGACGTTGCAGGTGCATTGCATCCTGAAAACATTATCTCAAAGATAGCTACACCCTTATGTGTGCAGTACTGCGAAATTCACGGAATGAGGGAAGCGTACAACGATAATCGCTATACCGTTTCACAAATTTACTTCAAAAATATTGTTTCACATCCTCCTTCGAACTTCGCCACTCGTTGGCGCACACTCCCTTGTGGCGTGTCATCATCGCCGTCCGCTTCCAACATTCTCTGGTAGATTTCACTCTCCCCGCGTATCTTCTACACCTTAAAAACGAACCACTCCCCACATCCTTTGCATAACACACTCCATAAGCCATCTCGGTGAGTATGGTCTCGGATGCAATGCAATGCCTAACTGCTCCACCACACAGTGCTAATTGTCCATCCCCTTTATACCAACCTGAAATTTCGCAATTGCGCTCACAACTTGCCCGCCACAGAGATAATCAGATTTTTTTGTACTACTCTTTTAGTTAGCATTCAAGTACATGATATAGTCAACACGACCACGATCAAAACTAATTGTCATCTATAAAATTAAAATTGCAATTTTAAATGTAATTGTCATTGCGAATATAATTTGTGAAATTTGTCTGATTGGAAATTATACCGTATAAGCGAAAGGTAATTGCATATATTTCTTTTTTCATTTTATATCCTTGAGAGAAGCTTTTGAAACGACATTGCGGTGCATTTAGATATTTGCTGCATGCAAATTTAGCCATTTGTACAAGGGTATGTCATTTTTATATTGTTGTGAGAATAAACTAGCAAGACCAATATATATATATTTTAACTATTTATTATGTAAATCTCAGAACTCTCTCATCTTCTCTCTCTAGAATCTCTCATCTCTCGTAATGACACCTGAAGTAATATGAAACAAATTAGCTTCGTAGGTGATGAAATCGTGTTAGTGTGTTTAAAATGGCTCATATTTTGGCTAACCGTCCCTGTTGGATCACCCAGTGTCCAATTGAACACGAAATCAGTATTTAAAACGCAGTAATCATTTTGCGAAGATCGAAATTGATCAAAATTTCTTTGCCCATAATGATCTGTAAAACGAATCTAACATTTTTTATTCGAATAATAAAATTTATAGTAACGAAATTGTTCACGCGGAAACTGCAGGAACTCGCGCTTTCATGTGAGATTCGAAGAGGCCTCTCTTGGTCGGGCTTATAAATTCGAAAAATTCGTGTGGGATGCGACAGACTAGAACTACGGAGCGGTCAATTTGACCGCTTTATTGAAAGTACTATAGAATTATTATTCTGTAACATTTCATTTGTTTCCCCCCCAGATTTTATTTGGTATGTTCAAATTGTCGACATTAGATAGGAAAAGTAGAAACTGTGGAGGCCTTAGTTGCCAAATGAGCTGAGTAAAATGCATTTTAAAACGGTGAGCAGTCAAAATGACTGTCCCGATAGTTCTAGTGTTAGTCATGATTCAACGATATAACCTCGAATGTTACTTCTAAAAAGCAGGGCATGAGTGGGGCAGGACCCCAGAATAAGTTAACCCTTTACTGCATGATATATGAAAGCCTTGGAGAAAAAAAGTCAATTTTCGCATGCATTTCCCTATAGTTTCGAAAGTAAGATATTTTGCATCAAACTACCCAAATTCGGTCATTTTAGTGCATTTTTAGGTTGCCAAAATGGAAGAAATTTTCAAAAATGAGAAAAACTGCAACAGGTATAATTTGTAAAACCTTAGACAAAGATGTGAGATGAATATATGAGACAACTAATGCATGACACAGTTTTTTAGTCATGAAATGCAATAGTGAAAAAAAAAAGTTAAGAAGATTGTGATGAAATAAGGCAAAAGGTCTTGGCTCATCTATGGTACTGACCTCGTGTTTTCAATATGCTGCTAGTTAGTAAAAAAAAAGTAGATATTTAAAAGGTGTTGGTGTTCTTCCCAATCGGGAACATCATGGATGTTTCAGAAATTCCCATTTGCCACATAGCGAATCTTAAGCAAT